AGCACTACCAAGTGGCGGTGGCAGTGGCAGGCACAACAGGGCCAGGATGAGTGGCAGCAGAGCGGTGCCCGGCCCCGGCTGGGGTTCTCCCCGGCCACCTGCCACTTTGGCACTGCTACATCCCTCAGGGGATGTCGGACTGTTGGTTTCGGCCCAATCCCCGAAGGCCTGGCCAAAATCGGCAGTCCGACATCCCTCCAAGGGGTCACGGATTGCAAGAGGGCTCAGGTCAGGCTAAGGGACCCCACCCATGCACGAATTTGTGCACCGGATCTCTAGTAATAATAATAATAATAATATTAATGATAATAAAATAAACTCTTAAGATAAAGAACCCAGTACATGCTCTCTCTCCAAAGCCTGCCCATGCCTTTATTCTTCAAGCTTGTATCTTTCTTTTCTTTCTGTTAGGGTCCCCACAAGACTTGCAACTAGGGGAGTATTGGGCTACAGCAGCACATCCTGGGCTAACCCCCTTCAAGCCCCTTCTTTTGCCTCTGTAACTTGATTCCTGAGTTCACACAGCCCAGCTGGCTCACTTCTTCTGCCTCTGTGACTTTCTTTCTAAAGGGCCAAGGCACCTCTCTGAGCATTCTGCTCCAGTCTTCTATTTAAGTGTACTTTTGCTTTGCATGCTAAATAAACTTCCCCTTGCACTAGGGGAAAAAAAAAAGGAATGGTCTGGAAAGACCATCCTTATGCAGTTAAAGAGAAAAGACTCACCTGGATTTGAGACAATAAGCATCTTACAGTCGGGACTATATTGGACCAGGGCAGGAATAACTGATTTCATGATATCCACATTACGTTGAACCAGGGAAAGACGACTTTCTCCTTCCTGTTGCCGTACACCTGCTGTGACAATAATTAATTTGGAGTTTGCAGTTACACGATAATCTAAAAGAGAAACAAAAGACAATATTTGGATCATGACTGCCATAATCATTGTTCCTTAATTCTTTAAAAGAGTATTGTATGATCTTGGTATTAAAGCATTTATATACCTTCATGTCTGGCATTTGGAAATGAATAGACTTTCCATGTAGTAATATTATTTTGAATAACCTGAAGGAAGTCTTGTCACTATGACTTAAAAGTTTCAAACAGCTTTTTAAAAAAAAAATAGAACATACTATGCTTTTAAGCAGACATTCTCATTTGTTATTAAGGCCTGAGGCAATGCAAATCAACTCTCTGGCTTCTTAGAAACACTATATATATATATATAGTGTTTATATAAGCCAGATATATATATCAGAAGCTTAAAACTCTGAAAATGTATGTATCTGTTTCAGGATTCCAAGAGTAGGAATGTATTTATTTCTAATTAGAAGGGACTGGATTTGAGATCATAGGCACATTCTTGATCCAGAAAAGAAAATAAACTACCTTCTAAATCTGATGATCAGTTGTAAAATTGTTTCACCTATGAACAAAAATAAATATAGAGGCAGCATCGAACAGACTGTCAAACTACAGAAGGAAGGCTGGGGAGGGTTTGGGGGGGAGGTAAGAGATCAACCGAAGGACTTGTATGCATGCATATAAGCATAACCAATGGACACAAGACACTGGGGGGTAGGGGAGATCGGGGGAAGGTCAAGGGAAAAAAAATAAAGGAGACATATGTAATACTCTTTGTAATACTTTAAGCAATAAAACAAAATTTTAAAATAAAAAAAAATAGCCCTGACCGGTTTGGCTCAGTGGCTAGAGCGTCGGCCTGTGGACTGAGGAGTCCCAGGTTCGATTCTGGTCAAGGGCATGTACCTTGGTTGCGGGCACATCCCCATTAGGGGGTGTGCAGGAGGCAGCTGATCGATGTGTTCTCTCTCATCAATGTTTCTAACTCTCTATCCCTCTCCCTTCCTCTCTGTAAAAAATCAATAAAATATATATTTTTTTAAAAAGCACCTTGTCTAGGCTAGTCTTGGACTTCAATTTCTGAATGAGATTTGAATAGATATTACATAATGTATCAACTGAATTGGTAATATTTCACTGGGATGCACTAATGTTTGTTATACTTAAACTCTTATTATATTTCAAAATTAATATTTTAAAATAATTGTTTCTATGAATATTAATTTGAATATCTTAAAAAAGACATTAAAAGCAAGTTGTTTAAAAATTGTCCTGCCCAGCCGATGTGGCTCAGTGGTCGAACACTTATCTATGTCTTAGGAGGTCGCCAGTTCAATTCCTGGTCAGGGCACATGCCTGGGTTTCAGGTTCAGTCCCTAGTCGGGTCATGTGTGGGAGGCAACCAACTAATATTTCTCTCTCTCTCCCTCTCCCTCCCTCTCTCTCTAAAATTAATAAAAACATATATTTTAAAAATTGTCCTTTTAAGTATGAGAAAAATAAAAGTGAAGGAAAACCATAAGAATTTAGTAGAGCCCTAGCTGAGTGGCTCATTGATTGGAGCATCATCCCATACACCAAAAGGTTATGGGTTCGATTCTTGGTCAAGGCACATATAAGAATCAACCAATGAATGAATAAATAAGTGAAACAACAAATCAATGCCCCCCTCCACTCTCTCTCTTCCCTGTCTCTCAAATCAATAAATAAAAATTTAAAAAAAAACACACTAAATTAACCTTTTCCACCAACAATCTTTGAAGTAGCAAAGAAAAGACTGCCATGCTGAAGATCCATCATTTCTCCCTTCAACTTGTCCTCTGCGACATCAACAAGGGCGAGTTCATCAGCCAAATCCTAAAATACATTAAAGTTATGAATAAGATATTCTGGAAAATGTTCTTATTTTAGGAGAATGAGAAAAAATTTTGTGTGGCTATTTTATACTCAAAGGAGAGTTATATATATATACTTTTAAATATATTTTATTGATTTTTTTACAGAGAGGAAGGGAGAGAGATAGAGAGTTAGAAACATCGATGAGAGAGAAATATCGATCAGCCGCCTCCGGCACACCTCCCACTGGGGATGTGCCCGCAACCAACGTACATGCCCTTGACCGGAATCGAACCTGGGACCTCTCGGTCCGCAGGCCGATGCTCCATCCACTGAGCCAAACTGAGTTCGGCAGGAGAGTTATATTTTTAATAGAAAAAATTATATAAAAATGATAGGTTTTTTTTGCTGTTTTATTGCTTAAAATATTACAAAGAGTAGTACATTTGTCTCCTTTTTTTTCCCTCTTGACCTTCCCCCAGCCTCCCCTACCCCCCAGTGTCTTGTGTCCATTGGTTATGCTTATATGCATGCATACAAGTCCTTTGGTTGATCTCTTACTGCCTCCCCCCCCCGCCCCCCGCCAAATGATAGTTTTTCAATATGCCTAGAATGGGCCAGAAGTCAAGGTAAACAACAGAATATAATAAAAAGTCATTGTTTTGCCTTCGTATAATTATTAATTTTGTTAGAATTGGGTTTCTTCCACTTCAGATAACAGTTTAAAACTGTTGCCCTGGCTGGCTAACTCAGTTGGTTGGAGCATGTCCAGATACACCAAGGTTGCAGTAAGATGACATGGTCAAGGCACATACAATCTATACATATAAGAGCCCAGAACAACCACAATGACCAGTCGACCAGTCGCTATGATGCACACTGACCACCAGGGGGCCACGCCCCACCAATGCACAAATTCGTGCACCAGGCCTCTAGTCTATATATATAGAAGGCTAATATGCAAAGTGTCCCCTCAAGAGTTCGACCAGGAGAGTGGGAGTTTGATCACAATGACATGCGCTGGCCACCGGGGTTGGTGCAGAACGAAGGAAGTCCCTGGCCAGCAGCCGGAAGGCCCCGATCAGCCCTGGTCGCCAGCCAGGCCTAGGGACCCTGCCTGTGCACGAATTTTGTGCACCAGGCCTCTAGTAAATGCATAAATAAGTGGAACAACAAAGGGATGTCTCTGTTTCTCTGTCTCTATATCTGTCTCTCTCCTCCCTACCCTCCTTCCTTCCTTCCTTCCCCTCTTCCATCCCTCTCTCCCTTCCTCTTTCTCTCTAAAAACCAATTTAAAAAATAAAGCCTATGAAAAATTATTAAATTCTTTCCAAGGATTTTACTATATTTAGCCCATATGCCTTATTTCTAAATTGGCTAAAGTTGTTTTCAGTATGCATCGTTATGGCCAAATAGAAAAGTAGCCACCTATAGGAACCCTTTCCATGTAGGTCAGTACAGTACAATTAATATCAGCCCTCCAACCTAACAGTAGATGTGCATATAACCAGACCCAACCAATTGTTCCATTCTTCCTTCTGGTCACAGAAATTAGTTCACAAATGGGCATATGGCCCAGGCATAACAAATGGGCACAATGTCTATAAGGTTTGAAAGTGGAAGATGGAAAATTAAGTGTCATTTTTCTTTGGAATCATAGCTCTAAGAATGACATAAGACTCTTAAGAATAAACTGTATAGTCATCTTTACCACTACACAGAAAGACCCTGCCTGAGAATTAAGCCAATAGAGGAAATATAAACCAAGATATACAAATACTGTGTCTCAATATGTATGAATTCTAGAATCTAGTAGTACCTGAAGCTAGCTCTGCTCTTAGATTTTCTAGTTATGTGAACAATATATAGTCTCTTTATATGCTTACTCTAATTTGAATTGGGTTTTTCATCAGATTCAACAGAACATAAAACTATATAGAAGGAGTGTATTCCCTTAGATTCCAGTGGCCAGATTCCAAAGGTGAGCAATAACAAAAAAGGATACAAGTCCCTATTTACTAATGGTTTTTTCTCAAATCAGACACCATGTCATCTTACTGGACAACTGTAAATTCTAAAATTTACTAAATTATGTGTCATATCAGGAATAGGAGGAGGATAAGGAGTTTCATCCAGAAGAATGAAACTTTTGGCTAGCTGATTTTTAAAAAAAATATATTTTTATTGATTTCAGAGAGGAAGGGAGAGAGAAAGAGAGATAGAAACATCAATGATGAGAGAGAATCATGGATCGGCTGCCTCCTGCATGCCCCTCACTGGGGATCGAGCCTGCAACCCTGGCATGTGCCCTGACCAGGACTCGAACCATGACCTCCTGGCTCATAGGTAGACACTCGACTACTGAGCCATGCTGGCCGGGCAAAATGGGCAAAGGATTTAAATAGACATTCCTCCAAAGAAGATATACAAACGGCCAATAAGCACATGAAAAGATGCTCCGGAAACAGAAAGGAAAATTAAAGAACTTCCATTTCAAAATAACTTTGTTATTTTATCAAATCGTGTACTTTTTGTTTTATAATGAGCATGTCATACCATTTTTTTTTTTTAATTTTAAAGTGGAAGCCACTGGGAAATACAATTTTCACCCATTCCTCCTCAAGGAAGACAATTCATGGATTGAATTGTTATAATGCAATGTCATAATGCTTAACAACGTGCCTACAAATAAATCTGAACTAGTCTAAGAATGGTAAGCTCCAAGTAAATGTTTCTTTTTAAAAATATATATATTTTATTGATTTTTTTACAGAGAGGAAGGGAGAGGGATAGAGAGTTAGAAACATCGATGAGAGAGAAACATCGATCAGCTGCCTCCTGCACATCTCCTACTGGGGATGTGCCCACAACCAAGGTACATGCCCTTGACCGGAATCGAACCTGAGACCCTTCAGTCTGCAGGCCGACGCTCTATCCACTGAGCCAAACCGGTCAGGGCTAAATGTTTCTTAAATTGCGTCAAAATCAGAGGAGAGGAATATGACCAAGAGGGGAAAAAAAGTCAGATGAAGAGGATACATATTTGGGGCCAAGGGATTAGCCCTGCAAACCTGAACTCATCCATCGACCAGGCCCCGAAGCGCTTGACCCTCAGCCCCAGAACAGGCTGATCACTTACCTTCAATAAGATACAAATGGCGCAAGCCATGCCCACCGCACCGACCCCGACGACGGTGATCTTCTGCTGGGAGGTTTTATCTTCCACAACCAGGTTCTGAATAAGCTGCTCCTTGACCGTTGACATTGTGAGAACCTGAGAGAGACACGCCATTTCAGTGGAATCGAACTCCCTAAATAACGCTCGTCGCGAGCGATGTACTTAGTCACACTGACCTAAGACACCACCTCGTAGTCTGCACCGGTGGGTGCCGGGCTGTAGGGGAAGCCAAAGAGAGGATATCCTGGTCAAAGGTGACGAGAGGTAGTCGGGCCGGGCCGAGGCACCACCGTCGGGGCCCAGGCACCACCGGCTTCCTGAGCTCGCCCTGCCCCAGCCACCATTTCCGCCCCCGCGCCGGATACTCACCAATGCTCTGCTTGGCGCAACCCACTACAGACCCCCCGGAAGCATAACACACAGCCTCGCAGGACTTTTAAAAGAGTGACCACGGAGCGCAACAGCCACGGCAGTTGAGGTGCGAAGCCCGGCTGCGGTTATTCCCCGCCCGACGCGCCAGCACGCTCCGCGAACGTCAGCACGCAAGCCCCCGCCCCCCGCCGGCCGGCGAAGGCGCTTTGGCAGACGCTCGACGTCCTCTAGGTGTGAGCTGGTTGCTGGGTTGCCTGCGATTGCACCCTGCTGCTGTCCGTGTGAAGAATTGAGAGACGATCTTGGAGAGTGTGCAGTCACGGTGATCGGAGTGTGGTTTCGTTTCCTTCAGGCGGCCTGGGACTGATTTGCGGGCCCTGACTCTTTGGAGACCCCACAACCACCCAGCTTTAGGCGCGCCAGGCCCCCATGGGAAAGAACCTTCCTGGGAGCACCTCCCGTGTTTAGGGTGGTGCTAGCTTAAAGCAGTAAAATGTGGACTTGGGAGTGACCAACCCGACTTGGAGGAACATACATTTTGGTGCACTTATCACACCTACGTCCAAACATTCATTTGCAGGAATTTTTAAAAATTATTAAGCTAGGTAACTTCAGGATGGAGTGCTGAAATAATGTTTGAATGAAAATGAGCTCAGCCGGTGTGGCTCAGTAGTTGAGCATCCACCCATGTACCAAGAGGTCACTGGTTTGATTCCCAGGGCACATGCCCAAGTTGCAGGCTCAATCCCCAGTGGGGGGTGTGCAAGAGATAACCAATGGATGTTTCTTTCTCATCAGTGTTTCCCTCTCCCTTCCTCTTTCTCTAAAAATCAATAAAAAACGTTGTTGGTTTTTTTTTTTTTAAATAAAAGAAGCCCTAGCTGGGCCTGCGGACTGAAGGGTCCCTGGTTCGATCCCAGTCAAGGGCACATGCCTGGGTTGCAGGCTTAATCCCCAGTGGGGGGACCTGCAGGAGGCAGATGATCAATGATTCTCATCATTGATGTTCCCATTTCTTTCCCTCTCCTTCCCTCTCTGAAATCAAAAGATATATAAGGCCCGTGGTCTAGTTTTCTAAGAGTGATTTCTTTTTTTTTAAATTTAGTTTTTACAGAGAGGAAGGGAGAGGGATAGAGAGTTAGCAACGTCGATGAGAGAGAAACATCAATCAGCTGCTTCCTGCACACCCCCTACTGGGGATGTGCCCGCAACCAAGGTACATGCCCTTGACCGGAATCGAACCTGGGACCTTTCAGTCCGCAGGCCGACGCTCTATCCACTGAGCTAAACTGGTTAGGGCAAGTGATTTTTAATTTATAACTCACACAAAGGGACACAACCTCTGTCATTTTTTGTCATTTGCATTTGAATCTTTTTCAAAATCTAAAGGGTAATTCATTTTCTGTATCAAAGCCTATGATTAATATAGTTCAGATCATGCAATAACTGCTTAAAACCCTTCAATATTTGCAACAGCATGGATGGAACTGGAAAGCATTATGCTAAGTGAAATAAGCCAGTCAGAGAAAGATAAATATCACATGATCTCACTCATTTATGGAATATAATGAACAACATAAACTGATGAACGAAAACAGACCCAGAGACAGAGAAGCATCGATCAGACAGTCAAACCTCAGAGGGAAGGTAGGGGAGGGTGGGGGTAAGGGGTAGAGATCAACCAAAGGACTTATATGCAAGCATATAGGCGTAACCAATGGACACAGACAACAGGGGGGTGAGGGCATGAGGGGGGGTGGGGGGTAATGTGGGGATAAGGACACATATGTAATACCTTAATAAAAAATTTTAACAAACAAACAAAAACCCTTCAACAGCTTTCTGTCACACTTAAAAAAAAATTGCCCTGGTTCGTGCAGCTCGGTTGGGCGTCCTCCTGTTCCACCCCCTGGTAGGGGGCATGCAGAAGGCAGCCCATTGCTGTTTTGCTCTCACATCAATGTTTCTCTCCCTCTATCTCTAAAAAAAATCAATTAAAAAAAAGGAAAAAATAACCAATTTTTACAACCTATGATACATTAAAAATTTGACCTCCTCACACGTCTGCAACTTCATCTCAAAACACTCTTCATCACACTCTCCCCCAAGCTTTTTCTTGGCTGAGAACTTCTTGCTGTTCCCTATATCTGGAAAGTTCTCCCCCAGCCCTTCTCAAAGTTGATTGTTCATTTTCAGTTTTGAGCACATATGCCACTTCCTCTAGCTTTCTTGACCGATGTGTCAACTACCACCACCTCCCTACTCCTGTTCCTCTCAGGGCCTTTAACCTATTGCCAGCCCCAAGCAAGAGGTTTCTATGGTGGACAGCAGTGGCAGCTGTTGTTGGTCCTGTACTCCCACTTACTTGTGTGCTTCCACAGCAACTCCCTGCCTTTGAACCTCACTTACCAGGGGGCTGAGAGGGAGACACTGCTGGCCTAGATGACCTCAAAGCTAAACTCTACATCTGCTTCATACCCCTGTTGGCCTAAGGAGTTATCATCTGGGAGTGAACAAACTCCTGTTCCGATGGAAGAAAAGCTCTTCATTCATACCTGCCCAAGGCCTAGGGACATTGGCAGGAGCTAGACATCCTCTCTGCCTGGGTGCGTTGTCTGGTGGCCGTGAGCCAAGCTAACTTCCCATTTTGTTATTTTATGGCAATGTAAATACAAGAGAGCCAAATATGCAAGATTTTTGCATATTCCCACATCTACCAAAGTATAGTAAGCACTCAGCAAAGGATTAGAAAGAACATGGCTTTGAAGTCTTGATAGTTTTATTTTCTCAACATAGGTTTTAGTGGGGGAAAAAATACCTATCTACACAGAGAGAGAGAGAGAGATAGGCATATCTATCTATATGAAAGGAGGACCATGTTGTGACCATTCCATTTTTTCCCCCCACTAACTAGCAGTTTGCATGAGATGGCGGCTAAGAACTGCTTAATCCACTTCACAAGGCATTAAAACTAAAATGAGATCATATTCCATTAAAAAGACTCAGAGCTCCTTGCAGAGTTGGCCTATTCCTTGCCTGGGGCAGAAATATCCAATGTGTACCTGGAACACTTACTGTGCCAGGAAGCAAGGAAGCTTAACAAGATTAAATCTGAAAAGTCTATGAAAGTTTAAACGTCTCTCTTAAGCATTATTTTTCAGTCATGTTGGTGTTTACTAATTTATTGTATCAAACAATTTGATACTAAGAAATGTAAATTTAAAAAATTTTTTTTAAAGACTGAAGGTGCCGCCCTAACCGGTTTGGCTCAGTGGATAGAGCATTGGCCTGCAGACTGAAGGATCCCAGGTTTGATTCCGGTCAAGGGCATGTACCTTAGTTGTGGGCACATCCCCAGTAGGAGGTGTGCAGGAGGCAGCTGATCGATGTTTCTCTCATTGATGTTTCTCTCTATCCCTCTCCCTTCCTCTCTGTAAAAAATCAATAAAATATATTTAAAAAAAAAAAGACTTAAGGTGCCTAACATAAAAGGCTGTAGGACCCTAGCTGGTTTGGCTCAGTGGATAGAGCATTGGCCTGCAGACCGAAGGGTCCCAGGTTCAACTCTGGCCAAGGGCACATGCTTGGGTTGCGAGCTCAATCCCTAGTAGGGGACCTGCTGGAGACAGCTGATCAATGATTCTCATCATTGATGTTTCTCTCTCCCCCTCTCCCTTTCTCTCTGAAATCAATAAAGAAATATATTAAAAAACAAACAAACACAAAGGCTGTAGGATTACATACACTTTTTTTTTCTTTCCAGTAAATTGAAAAGTCCCAAGATTAGTGGTTGGAGTGCACAACTATGTGGATCCACAGAATCCTACACTTCATGAGTAAATTTTATGGTAAGTTATAGCTTAAAGTTGTTTTTTAGAGTCTACAGGAAAGCAAATTAATAGTCAAGACTACATAAGTCAGTCCTGTCACTTTACATTTAAGACACATTTTAAAAAGTGTAATTATTTTCCTTAACTAGCTCTCAGGAAGGAAATTTTGAGGAAAAAATTCTAGAAAAGGGATGACAATAAAGTTGCTCTGGAAGTACAGTTTTTAGGTCTGGATAAGGGTCATAGTTATGGGCTATTTTATTTAAAGTCATTAAAGATAGTAGTCCTGCCCAGCCAGAGTGGTTCAGTGGTTGAATGGCGACCTTTGAACCAGATCACGGTTTGATTACCAGTTAGGGCACATGCTGGGTTTGGGGCTCAACCCCCAGTAGGGGGCGTGCAGGAGGCAGCCGATCAATGATTCTGTTATCATTGGTTTCTCTCTCCCTCTCCCTTCCTATCTGAAATCAATAAAAAATAAAAATAAAAAAGTTGTCCCTCCACTTATCCATGGTTTTGCTTTCCATGGTTACCATAGTCAAACGCAATCTGAAAATATTAATTGAACATTCCAGAAATTATTCAAGTTTTAAATTACACACCATCCTGAGTAGCATGAGGAAATCTTGTGCCATCCCACTTCATCCTGCCTGAGCCATGAATCATCCCTTTGTCGAGATTATCCACATGGTACACACTACCCACCAATGAGTCATTTAGTAGCCGTCTTGGTTATCAGCTCAACTCTATATCACAGTGCTGATGTTCAAGTAACTCTTATTTGACCTAGTGCCACATTTATAACTTTAGTCTTGGTTATAATTGTTCTATTTTATTGTTAATTTCTTACTAATTTATTTAATTATTTTTTTTTTTATTGATTTTTTTACAGAGAGAAAGGGAGAGGGAATAGTTAGAAACATCGATGAGAGAGAAACACTGATCAGGCTGCCTTCTGCACACCTCCTACTGGGGATGTGCCCATAACCAAGGCACATGCCCTTGATCGGAATCAAACCTGGGACCTTCCAGTGCGCAGGCCAATGCTCGATCCTCTGCGCCAAACCGGGTAGGGCTTAATTATTCTTACTAATTGTTTCCTAATTTATAAATTAAACTTAATCATATCCTATATGTATGATAAAAAACAGTATACATAGGGTTTGGTATTGTCTGTGGTTTCAAGCATCCACTGGGAGTCTTGGATGTATCACCCACGGATGAGGGGGGACTACTGTACCATTATGTTACTGGCCTCCAGAAAACGAAGTTTCTTAAATATCTGTGTGTTCCCCTGTGTTGGTAAAGTACCACTGCTTATGTTCAGTTGGCAAATGTTTTTTACATTAGTTTGTAGTATTTTATATACATGAATTGTAGAGTACAATTATGATTAGCACTATTATCAAGTTATCTTATGTAATACCTTAGGGCTTAGTTTATTAAAATAATTTTTAAAATGGAAATGGTACCAAAATAACCTAATCAATCTAGCCACAGCCTTAATCTGTTAATTCAGATTAAAGTCTGGTCAATAGTAAATATTCCTTAAAAAAAAATTCATTGCAGCTCAATTGGTTCAAGCACTGTCCCATATACCAAGGTTGTGCGTGGATTCAATGCCCAGTCAGAGCACTTACAAGAATCAACCAACGAATGCACAAATTAGAACAAATAGGTGTTTCTTCCTCTCTAAAATCAACCAATAAATAAACAAAAATCATTGAAGTTGCCCAAGAATAATGAGTAGTAGCTCCCAATAATGTAATGAATAGTAGCTTTATGATTTTATATCATAATAAATTAACAGAGTAGTCACTGTTCAAGGTTTATTTGGCATTTTAGTTGGTATGACACTTGGATAGTTGGCTGTATTATTTATATGTAGATTTTTTATATTATATGGCAATGTACACGAATCTGATACATATAGTACACAGAATAAGATCCTTTAGAGCAGTTATGCACAAAACATGCAATATTGGATTTACATTGGCTCCCAGGATGTGACTAATTATAGAAAAAGGAACCACAAGTTATATAACACAGTGAACACACATCTAGTCTGAAGGGCAACTGTAGCGTGAGCAACATTGGCAGTGGTGCCTTTGAGGAGGTGGAACTATTTCACACTAACCAGTTTAGGACTACACAAGATAAGGATCAGGATGTAGAGGCTGGGTTTTATGAACCATTACTAGTTCTATCTTTAGGAAACTGATGTTCTTAGTCACAGATCAGATAAAAAGGACAATATGCACAATCTCCAACTAAAATCCTGCTGTAGCCTAGACAGTGAGGTGGTGGGACATCAGGAGACTTTAAAACTGTAGCTCTTTCTGGATCCCCCACAGTGTGTCTGCACTCTTCTTCAAACGGGCCTCTTCCTCAGGTGTCAGGGTCACCTTCACAACATCTGAGATTCCATTCTGTCCCAAGATGCAAGGAACACTAAGGAAGACGTCGTCCTTTATGCCATAGAGACCCTGGAGACAAAATGAAAAATACTTTATGTTTTTTCTATACATTTTGGGGTCTCCCAAGACTTTTATTATCTACAGTTATGAAGCTTATTTGATATAAATGGATAAGTAGAAATTGCTTTCCAGATTTTCAGTTAGGATGTAATCAACAGTGTAAAATAAAGTCATTAAAATTGCAGCAAGATTTCCATTCTAGACTCTGGTCAGATAGCTCAGTTGGGTAGAGCATCGTCCCGATATGCCAAGGTTGCCGGTTCAATCTCCAGTCAGGGCACATACAAGAAGCAAGCAATGAGTTCACAGATAAGTGGAATAACAAATAGATGTTTCTCTTTCACTCTCTCTGAAATCAATCAATAAAAAATTTAAGAAAAAATTTCATTCTAAAAGAAAATCTAAGCTATTGCTATTATCCATAGTACTTTCCAATTTTTACTGATAACACTTTGGTAACTGTAAATTGAGTGTGATTTCCATTTTTCCCAAAAGAAGAAATTCTGTTTCTTTTAGTCTTCCACCCATCTGAACATAATTGAATAGATTTTAAGTCAACAAGTTATCAAGTATCTATGTGCTAAACACAGTGCTAGTGGACATTAATCTTAATGCTTGCCCATGTTACTTCCAAAAAAGAAAGTTACAGGTGCATTAATTTCTTAAATCAATGACTGAGGACGTACATTAATCTAATTGCTTTCTCAAAAGAAATTGTTTTTTAAAAATATAAATAATGACATTCAAGTACAACGTATCACTACATAGACCTACCTTAATCATGGTGGAAATTGGATGCACCCGCCTAAGATTCTTCATCATACTTTCTGCTAAATCAGCCACAGACAGGCCAATGGCCCAGGATGTATAGCCTTTCAGTTTGATTACCTCGTAAGCACTGTAGGTTAGGAAATCACAGGGAAGGGCAGGAAAAAGTAAGAGAAACAAACAAACAAAAACAACACACAAAGCTTTTACTGAACATAAGCTTTACAGTGAATAATGCCACAAAGATGCATTATACACACAAGAGTAGACCTTTCGCTCTAGCCGGTTTGGCTCCGTGAGTAGAGCGTCAGCCTGCGGACTGAAGGGTCCTAGGTTGAGGGGCTCAGTCTCTAGTAGGAGGTGTGCAGGAGGCAGCTAATCAATGATTCCCTCTCATCATTGATGTTTCTATCTCTCTCTTCCTCTCCCTTCCTATCTGAAATCAATAAAAATATGTTTAAAAAAAAAAAAAGAGTAGATCTTTCCATGTATACAAGGATATTATGTATAAGAATATTCACAATAGTACTGTCAGCAATAGCAAAAACCTGACAACAAGCCCAATTCTCTCCAACAGAAGAATGAATAAACTATGGCATACTCATACATTGAAATATTACATTAACTATCAAAACAAATAATTATACTGTCTTGCAACAAAAAAGGTGATTCTTCTATTGTAAATGTTTCTTGGGTTGTGCGGTGGGTTCACAGGTTTTACTTAAACAAATACAAGCCATTGAAGTAAAGACTGAATCTCAAATAGGATAGACTTAATCTAACTTAATAATTTACCATATAAGCAGAAAGATTTATCATACTATAAATTGGGAATTATGGCAAAAGATAGACTGTAGCATTAATAAATGTCTATAATTTTTAATATCTTTACCTCTTTTTATAGTATGATCTTTAACAAGGCTTTAGAAAACAAGTTTTCTCTCTAACAAAATATACTCAAGCCCTGACCGGTTTGGCTCAACGGATGAAGCATTGGCCTGCAGACTTGGGGGTCCCGGGTTCGATTCCGGTCAAGGGCATGTGCCTGGGTTGCAGGCACGTGCCCAGTGGGGAGTGTGCAGGAGGCAGCTGATCGATGTTTCTCTCTTATCGATGTTTCTGGCTCTCTATCCCTCCCTCTTCCTCTCTGTGGGAAATCAATAAAATATATTAAAAAAATAAAATTAAAAGAAATAAAAAAATACTTAAATGCAAATGCTAGTAAACTTTTAATATTTTAAACAATAATACAAACAATAAAGTTTAATCTCACATGCTGCCAAATCATGAGACATATTACCTGTCAACCACCTGTTTGTGAACTTGTTTCCACTGCTCCTTATCTGCATCAGTGCCTAAATCAGGGTGCAGATTCTTTAGGGAGACACCAGCAACATTCACTCCACTCCATACAGGCACTAAAAGAAACAGTACAAAATTCACTTATTTCCAGGCACCAGTCAGCAACTAGTAATTCCGACCCATTTTTCTAATTCTCTTTTATCTGGGGAGTATTACCCCTTTTAGTAGATACTCAAGACTACAATACCTAAAATAAAAAGAAAAAAATAAATGAAAAAAAAAGACTACAATACCCTTACTTTTAGATTTTCATTTGTTTATATTTTATTATAAAACTAAGAATTTCTACAATATTCTAACCTATTTTCCTAACCTACTGGGATGCTTAATAGACATATATTGGAATATAAAGATAGTATAAGGTTATAAGGATAATTATCGTGGCATAAGGAACTGAGAATTCTGCAAAAATTATAGCACTTCTACTGTGATAATAGGATTTTTTCATACTCTCTATTTGACTTGACTGACCTTTTCAGGGCTAAACAGTGCAAGGCAATTATAAACAGCTATGATATTGAGTGATTGAGGTCTTATGTAATGTCCATGGTTAAGAAGTAAAATAAATTTCATTCCCCACCCTGCATGCCAGGTAAATGTCATGTAAGATGGCTAAAATCTTAACAATTCTTAGCATTAAATTACACAAAAAGTAGATTTCTGAAAACCATTCTATCTTGATGAATGGATATCTGATTTAGGCTCCAATTTAATAAAACTGTCAATTTTTTACACAATCTTTTGAAAACAGAAAGAGGAAATAAGGTATGCTTACCACTAGAGTCTCCATGCTCCCCAAGGACCCACCCATGACAGCTTAATGGGTGAACTCCCAGCCTCTCCCCCATCAGGTATCGGAAACGGGCTGAATCCAGGTTGCAACCACTTCCAATAACACGGTTTTTGGGAAAGCCGCTTAACTTCCAAGCCACATAGGTCAAGATATCCACTGTGAAGAAAACATTTAGGCAAAGATACCAGGAGAATGATTAGATAATGATTAGCCACTGAAGACATATGGCGGAGGCCTGCCTGAGCTTTGCTGCTGCTACTGTCTATGCCTCCACCATGCCGCCCTACACCATGGTCTACTTCCCTGTTTGAGGGCGCTGTGAGGTCATCACATGCTGCTGGCTGGCCAGGCCCAGAGCTGGAAGGAAGAGGTGGTGACTGAGGAGACCTGGCTGCAGGGCTCCCTCAAGACCTCCTGTCTGTACAGGCAGTTCCCCAAGTTCCAGGCCGGAGACCTCACCCTGTGCCAGTCCAATGCCATCCTGTACCACCTGAGCTGCTCCCCTCGGGCTACATGTGAAGGACCTTCAGGAGACCCTGGTAGGCGTGGTGAGTGACAGCATAGAGAAGCTCTGCTGCAAGTACATCACCTTCATCTACACCAACTGATAGGCAGGCAAGGAGGACTATGTGGAGGAACCGTCTGGGCAGCTGAAGTCTTTTGAGACCCCGCTGTCCAGAACCATGGGTAACATGATCTCCTTCGCAAACTACAACCTGCTGGACTTGCTGCTGAATCACCAGGCCCTGGCCACCCACCGCCTGGACTCCTTCCCCCTGCTCTTGGCCTACCTGGCTCGCCCAAGTGCCTTCCCCCAGCACGTGAGCCTCCCATCAACGGTCATGGGAAACAGGGAGGGCTTGTGCCACCCTCAGCAGGTGGCAGGGGTTGCCTGCCTCCCTTTCCCAAGACCAATACAATTTTCAAGAGAGAGAAAAAAGACATAGGGCCCTGTATGAACCTTGATCATGATCATGGTCAATGTTTTTGTTAATATTTGTAAACCTCTATAACATGTATGATATAGCAAAACATTAAGTATCCAATAAATGTAATTTAATCAAAATAAGCTATGTATCAATTAAGAGGATAACACATTAGCCATAAACTTATACCTTATCCAAGGTGTTCTTGCACAAATAACTAATTTTAAAGTTCCAACTGCATTCAGAGGCATTGTAACCTATCCCCTTTCATGCTTTAAATTTAACTGTTTTACAAAAAGAAAAATCCACACCCAGGAAGAAAGGTGAGAGGGTGCAGGCCAGGCCAAGGGACCCCACTGATATACTATCAGTTTTACTCTAGCTCATGTATTGTTATGCAATTAAAAACCTCACCTGGATTGGAAACAACAAGCAGTTTGCAGTTGGGACTGTATTTTACAACATTAGGAATGATGAATTTAAAGATGTTCACGTTACGCTGGACCAAATTAAGGCGGCTCTCTCCCTCTTGTTGACGTGCCCCAGCTGTGATAATAACCAGCTTGGAGTTTGCAGTCACACTATAGTCTAGACAACAGAAAACAATAATTAGATTAAGGCCTTTAAGAGATCTCCAATACCTAGCCGGCAAAAATTTTTTCCATCAACTCTTTTTTTTTTTGGGGGGGGGTGGGGGGACGACAGTGGTTTGTATATATGGCAGGAAAATGTCTTTAATGCCCCCCGGACTTCTCTCCTTTAGTTTTTGGAGTTTTATCATTGTGGCCACTTACATGGATGAAGAGTACATCAATGCCCCCTTTTTGTTTTAGTCACATTGTAACTAAACTACAACTGGGGGGAGCTGGAAGGAATAAAACTTAATAGATTCTCATATCAAATGAGATACATTGCCAAGTTTTTGGCACCTGAGCTCAATGCTCATACTCTTCCACACTCCTGCTTCTACTTAAATACTTAATTGTGGTCATATCAGCCCAGGAACAGGCCTTCTTTTTAGAAAAGCAGAGGCAGCTTTACACTTGTCAAGTACATCTTGCTTCTAGATCCCTATGGCACAGGATGGTTAAGCGAGGGATGAAGATAATGAAGATACCTATCAGGTAAGTTGTCAATGATTTTCAAGTGTCAAAACAGATACTATTATTATGTTAGTGTGCAAAAGGAAATATGGAAAGTAAATAAATTGAAACTTCGGTATTAGTAGGTACCAATGCAAAATTGTTCAAAGGCTCTCTTATCCTGCATAAAAAAGTGTTTGAAGAGCTAGGATTTTGAGCCTGGTAAACAATTAAGTCTAGCATGGACTACAATATAAATGTGTTGAAATTAACCTTTGCCAGAGACAATTTTTGGTGTTTTAAGGAAAAGGCTGCCATGTTGGAGATCCATCATTTCTCCCTTTAATTTGTCTTCCATGACATCAACAAGAGCAAGTTCATCTGCCAAGTCCTAAAACACAAAAATTTTCATTAAATCAAAATTGCTTCCAAAGGTAACACCTCAAAAATAAAACATTTTCAACAACAAAAATCAAACTTGCTACTTCCAAATTTTTATTTTTATTTTTATTTATCTTTTATATATTTTATTGACTTTTTACAGAGAGGAAGAGAGAGAGATATAGAGTTAGAAATATCGATCAGCTGCCTCCTGCACACTCCCCACTGGAGATGTGCCCGCAACCAAGGTACATGCCCTTGACCGGAATCGAACCTGGGACCTTTCAGCCCGAAGGCCGACGCTCTATCCACTGAGCCAAACCGGTTATTTCCCTTCAAAAATTACTTTAAAATAATTTTAGCTTGTTTAAAGGGACTCTCATTTGTAGGCGATTCATGCATGTTAATACAGCAGAGTGAATTTAAGAAACTGTGTTGCCAGTCTAATAACCTTGATTTTTTTTGGTTCTGATATCCTTTTGGCATAGCACATTTCAAAAGTTTATTTCACATAAAGTTCTTTGAATGAGTGCATGAACCTCAATATTTGCATATACAATGTGATCACGCAATTATTAGGGAGTGGAGGAGTGGGTGGGGTCAAGTTTTCCTTGCCTTCCAGAGTGATGGACTCTCACTTACCTTCATTAAGATACTGATGGCACAAGCCATGCCCACAGCACCAACCCCAACGACGGTAATCTTATTCTGGGGGCTCTGTTCTTCCTTAAGAAGATTCACGATCAGCTGATCCTTGAGTGTTGCCATTTTGGACTTGGAACCAAAAGGAACCTATTGCGGGGGAAACATGAACTGTCACTGCACACTTCTTAACCAAAAGGTGTTCGGGAAAAGCTTATTTCACTTCCTTTTGGGGTACCTGCCACTAGAAATCACAAGGAACGACTAAAAAGGGGGAAGAGGGCAAACCTAAAGACAGCCAAAGGAGAGGTGAAAAGGCCTAACTAATGCCAGGGTCTGGTCTGGTCTGGCTAGGAACTTGGTGTGGAAAAACCTCACCTTCGCATGTAAAATTAATATCGACGTCTGAGTGTAAGTATATCCTCCTGAGTGTTCACCCATCTTGCTCTCTTAACCCCAAGCTGGGCCGGCCTTTCCTCAGACAAGATCACCAAGAGCCGTCCACTCCAGAGGCACGTGCAAAAAGTACCATTAACTGCTTAACTGCCTCGCTACCCAACCCTGGGGCAGCGAGGCGGGCAGGGAGCTCTGCTCATGCGCACTCGCTCCCCCCCCCCGCCCCCCTCCCCCAGGGGAGATCGGATCGACTGCGCGGTCCCCAAGCGCCCTCCCCTCGGGGAGGGTAGTAACACCCAGACCCGGAAGATGAGCAGCCGGCCCCTCCCCCACCACCTGGAGCGCTTGCGCATTTCAGAGCTGGGACTGGACTACAGCGGTCCAGAGGCCGCGGGCAGTCTGTAGAGAGGTGGGCGCTGGCCCCGCCCGTGCAGAAAAGATGAGACACTCTCCCGCCCCGAGGGTCAGAGGGCGCAAGCTCGGAGTCAGACTTTAGACTTAGCTAGAAATCCGAAGCAGACCGGAGCCACGTGAAGCCCGGCTGGCAGCCTCCTGGGCCTGGCGCCCGGCCAGAGCCAGGCTCTAAATCGCAATCCCAGGGGCTGCTAACCAACCCTGGCGCGGAGATGCCTGGTGTGGCTTCGGCAGCGATCCTTGTTGCAAAGGAGTGAGGCCCGGGATAAGGAAACTTTTTGTCGTCCAGGAAGTGCAGAAATAGCTTCAGAGGCCTGAGGCCTGGAGTCCTAGGCTTGATACTTAATGGAACCCTCGATTTCCAGAGCTTGGGAGGGAACACACATTGGACTCTGTTCATCTAACCCGGCACTGCATTCGCTGGATCTAGTTTTGACAGCGTTCCAACGGGCAAATATCCAAGAGGGCTTACAGGCAAGCAGCCGGGGTCGCCAGGCTGGGATCGGGTCTCTCCTTACAAATCTCTGCTATTTCTGGACAGCCTTGTAGGCTCCTGCAGCCCAGCAGGGGGGAGGGAGCAGTTCTCCCTCCAGAGACCTCCTGGCTTCACCAAAACCTAAGCTCTGGGCTCCAGCGCTTCCTCCAATGCGGGGACACGTGTGGGAGTGCAGCTCTGCAGAGAGAGGGTGTGCTCCCCAACTCTGCCACCTGCCGTGACCTTAGAGACGCCCCAACCCTCTCCCAGCTTTAGGCTTCCCCATTTGCCGGAAGGAACGGTTCGGGATGATTCTCCTCTCCATAGACCGTGAACCGCGGAGAGCTGATGCACAGGGCTTAGCATAGCTACCTCAGTCGCTGCTTAATAAATAAATGCAAGTGGCGCAGAGAGCGCTCTGTAATCTACAGGCGGCGGCCACTCCCAGGGAGCCCGCTTCCCCAGAGTCCCCGGGTTAAAATCCGACTCAGCGGCTTTCCGGCTTCCAGGAACCCACCCAGGCTGCTGAGGCTTTTTTGGCTCCATGGAGTCCTTTGCCGAGTTCCAGCCCAGAGGTCCACCCCACCCTTCAGACCCTTGTCCTGCATCCCCCTGGACTTTCCACCCCAGGTTAGGTGCGGCCACTTCCTGCGTTCCCCAGCCAGGCCCGATGCCATAGTGCGCCCTGAGAGCAGAAGCTGAGTGCGGCGGGCTCCGCGCCCACGCCGGGCGGGGGCCACCGCCCAGGGCTCCCCACTATGCTTCTGGAAAACAGCGCCTACACCCCCAGGAAGTAGGGACCGCTGGGCAGGTAGCGCCAGGCCACAGAGGCCCGGGCCAGCTCGCTTGCCCGCCCCATCGGGCGCAGAGCGCGCCGGGCCCTACCGTACCGGGCGTGCACGGCGGGCGGGCGTCGGTGGCGCGCGAGGGAGGATCCGGACTTGGCGGCTGCAGCTCCGGTACTTTGAGCCTAGCTCGGGAGGGGCCTTAAATGGAAGGGTGAGGCTGACGTCAGGGGGGCACGTGTGGGTCGGGCTGGGGGCGGGCTCCCAACCCGGCCGGGCAATGGGGAGGCCCTGGCGGCGCGCGCAGCGGGAGGACCCACAGGCAGATCCACGTGCGCTGGCCGCCTGGACCCGCTTGGCCCTCCGGTTACAAAGACCCCAGCCGGAGCCACCAGCTGGATCAACCCGACTCTCAGTTTCCTCTTCCGTAAAATGTGGAGTTTACCCTCAGAGAAGGCTTGATTTGAATCTTGATTTCCCAGTGCCCAGGACATCTGGCACGAAATAGTCACTCGACAACTATTTGTTGAAAGAAAATGCCTAGCACAGGGTCAGTCTGTCTTTCTCACCTAAGTCGAATGATCTCCAAAAGTTGACCTGCTTTTCCCCCTCCTGCTAAACCTTCCAAGCCCCACAACTCACAGTGAGGACTCAGCCTCTAGGGTCTGCTCTCCCTACTGGCCTACCCCACCCAGCACCTAGCATTCCAACCACACCCAGGAACTGTCAACGATATTTGTTTGTTTTTTATGTTTTTGCTTTTAAACATGTTATTTTTACCTCCACTCCAAGCCTTTGCTCAGGCTAGTTCTCTTGCCTGGCCTGCCTTCCTCTTCCATCTCTTCTTTAAACTACCAATCTCCTGGTACTCCCCACCCCATACACCCACAGCGTTGGTACCTCCCTCCTATCTGCTTCTACCTCACTGGTCTGCATCCCTCAAACCCTCTGGCATTAGAGGTGTGTGGCTCTGCTCTCCTATCTGACAGTGAGTCCAAGGGCATAAATGAGTCTATTTCCTCCCTGCACCTGGGACACACCAAAGCAAGAACAATCTATAACTGTGAGTTTCTTGGTTGTGAAGGGAAAATTCTAACCTCATCTCTAGAAAAGCAAGGCATCTCTCTACCATGTTCTAACAGTTTTCCCATCACTCTAAGGCCCAGAAACCTAGGCGCTCACAGAAACACACAGCTGGCAGGGCTGAGGGCCAGCCACAGGTTCTCCAGGGTTCCTCAGGGCAGGGCAGATTGCAACAGTGTCTGTGGTTCCCCAGTGTTTGCAACAATGTCCTCACCCAGTTAGGGCTGGGCCCCTGCCTGCCTGCCTACCAAAGATGACCACAGCTGCTGGGAAGAGGAGGCCAGAGCTGAGAGAGCGGGTATTAGGCTAAGGAGACAGGTAAGTACCCTCACCAGAAGGGCTCTGGGATGACCTCTGAAGATAATCTGGGTAAGGAGTTTGCTGTCCCCTAAATTAAAACACTTAACAATAGCTCACTCCAAGCACAACTTCCCTTTTCTTATGCAGAACAATAGCCTCTAACTCTGCAAATATGAATAAAATAAATACCATTTAATGACACCTCCTATGTGTCAGGCAGCAAGCTAGGCAATCCCCACGCTCATTTCACTTTAATTCTTTGTAACAGTCATAATGGTCTCCATTTTTTTTTTCAGATAAGGAAACTGAGGCTAAGAGAGATTAATGACTTTGCCACGGTCATAGAACTAATAAGTGACTTCAGCAGGTACTTGACCCGGGACTGACTTCACGCCAAAGTGTATGATTTTTTTCTCTATATGTTGTCCCTCCCCCACTCCTTGACTCCGCACTCCACAGAGGTGAGGAAATTATGTAGGGAGCTTCTAGCCAGTCCCATGTTCAGAAAGTTGTTTTCAATGAGAGACAGTGGGTATTAGTGGGCATCTCTGCCTGTCTGCTTGAACTGAGAGATTGGTCTTTTCTCACCACCGGGTGAGAATTTATACCACCTGCTTTCCTGAGTCTCCAGCTTACAGATAATGACAGATCCTCCATAATTGTCCCATGAGCCAGTTCTTTACATTAAATCTCATGACACACACACACACACACACACACACACACACGCGCACGCACATGCACACACACACGCGCACACACACACACACACACACACACTGTTTCTCCGAAGAACCCTGACTAATGTAATCTAACGGAAAGAATTTCTGTACCGCAACCAAAGCAGAGGGAGGGGCCCATAGGATGGGTCAGGAAACACTGTTTCATGGGGCAAAACAGACTTCTCAACCTAAGTGCTCTTTGGGGGTGGCCTCTTTCAAAGAGAAAATCTCACAGAAGTGGTTTGATCAGGTTATCCTTGGCCTCAGAGAATGGGTGCTGCTCAGCGCCCAGTACAAGATTTTTCTAAAATGGACCTGGACAAATAATGCTGTCCACCCAAAACACAGTGCTGATTCATTCCTCCATTCACTAACTATTTGTCACACTCCTCCTCAAGAGCATTCAATGGCTCCTCATGCCATTTTATTCCAGGATAAAATCCAAATTCCTTGGAAAGGCACACAAGGCCCTCCATGACCCAGTGCCCACGTGCCCCCTCTTGCCTTATCTCCTGTTTGCCTTCATGCTTCCTATATGCCAGTCCCAAGGCTACTTACCAGGTACATCCACCTCGGCCGTTCCTTCAACCCGAATGTTCTCCCCCTTGCCACCATCTCTGCCCACCCAAACTCCACATCTTCTTAGGCCAAATACTGTCCCTTGGGCTTGATATTAAATTGATTCTTATAGCTGTATATTTCTTCCTCACTGTCAGCTCCTAATGGACAGAAACGCTTTCATTTGTCTCCATAGCCCCAGCATGCACACTTACTTGTTTAATACATGTATGTTGAATTACGTGCCCGCTATGTAAATGGTACTGTGTCAGGTGCTGGGAATACAAAAATGAATGAGACAAATTAATAAGCCTTCCAAGACTTACCATTAAGTGGGGGGCGGGGGGGGACCAACAGCATCCCCCCAATAGTTAAAATGCAAGATAGAGTGAAACACTGTCACAACAGAAGTAGAAAAATGGCTTTAGCATTCAGAGGAGAGAGGGGTCCTTGGCCGGAGCTACCAGAGGAGGCTTCTTGGAAAAGGTGGCATCTGAGCTCAGCCTAGACAAAGGTTAATGAAGATCCGGCGTGGAGAAAGCGGAGCACACAGCATGAGTAAATGCAGGGAGGCAGGAACTTTCAGATGTGTCAGGTGCGTCTTTAGCTTTAAATGCCAGGATAAGAAATTGTTGTGTTTTGTTGTTGTTGTTTTTGGTGGCCAGTGGAAGTCACTGATGTTTTTGAAGAATGGGAAGAGATAGGGGGAAAGCAAGGTAGTTGAGAGGTTGTGGGAAAGGAGGTCAGCTTGTCTTTAATAATACACAACAAGAAGCTCAGAACATATACCGCTCCAGCCACATGGGCATAGAACACACATTCTCGGACACG